AATCAAACAAACGAATAAAAAAAGTTGGAAGAAGTTAGAGAGAGAGAGAGAGAGAGAGAGAGATAGAGAGAGAGAGAGAGAGAGAGAGAAGAAGAAGAGAGATAGAAAAAATTAAGCAAAATAACTGAAATAATATGATATTCGACCCCACACGAATTATTATCGGAACTGAAAAACGCAACACAATTGATGAGCTCAAAATAGTTGCTGACCCTTAAACAAACGTTTTGTAAGCATACATAAAATTATTTTTCTCATTTGATATCTCCCTCTCTCTCTCTCTATTATTCTTCTTTCATTTCCCATAAGACAAACTTTTTTTTTAAAAGAAAAGTCCGTGAATTGGTCAATATTGTCACACGTTTTATCTAATATGTATTCTATTTTCCCTAATTTCCAATATATAACTAAATCTCGGAATGTGTTTGATTCAATTTTCATACTTTTATTAAAATTGAAGCTACAAATGTTTTATTTATGTAATAATATCAAATATTTATTTGAATTTTTAAACCGAAATCTACGAATGTGCGCCAGATGTCGATTGTCGTTTTCAAAATCACAACAAATCTTTTTTTTTCATCTATTTTTAATTTTTTTTATGCATTAAGAAGTTGCTGGACACATAACTACTCGCTTCTTCCAAGTTACTTCCAGAATACATTTTAATTGATTGAATGAAATATTAAAAATTTTATGTTTTCTCAAGAAACAATCAACGACCAATTTAATTCTCCACTTCATAGCAACAACTACTTAATAATCACCAACGGTCTTGAAAACAAAAGTAAAAGATGTATGCAAAAAAATATGAAAACTTATCATATTGTGGAAGTAAATTGCACATTAACTCTTAATCAATAATCTGAATTTATTAAATAATTGGTAAATCCCTTAGATTGTTTATCTTTATCTCTATAACGTCTGATTTGATGCGAAGAAAAATCGTTAAAAGAAATTGAATGCATAAATGTTTCTAGCAGATGCATAGCTAAGATACATACATAGCAACTGTTCAAAGCCGTTTGTGTAAATAATGAAGATGTATAAGATAATATATCAAGATGCTAATTACAAAAATTATTAAGGTATCTTGTGAAGGAAAAAGATCTCGGTTGTTGTTGAAGAAAATCAAGGGATTGAGCATTTCTTTTGATTCCCAACTTCCCTGCCATCTTCAACATAAGAAAAACAAACTCAAAATACGCAAAATTTAAATATCACTAACGGTTTGATGAAACAAAATGCATTATAAGCATTCATTGAAAATATGTGTAGACATGACACCGAAATTGAAGCAAACTGTTAAAAATGTTTGAAACATTAAAAAAATAAGAAAAAATGATGAAGACAGAACTCGATAGCCAAGGAAGGAATCGCAATATTTTTTATTTGCAATGTTTTAGGAGCTTTTTGTCAGCATCGACATCATTTTGGCTTCAAATCGGCTTCTTTATCGATTATAGAAATGAACATACAGTAAATATTTGTTTTTGAATAATCTTGGAAAAAAATAAAAGAAAAATAATTATGGAAAAAGTTTTGTCTTTATTCTTCAAAATTACAGTTTCAGATGAAGTTTTTAGCAAGTCGTTGTTGTTCAAGTCGTTGCAATCTCGACAATTATCATCCTTATGCTGAGCAGCAGCATTCTTAGATTTTGTCACGTTTCTCTTGATCAGCAACTGTCACTTTCTTAGGAGACCACTTCAGTCAGCAAAACCTGCATAAAATGTTGGAGCAGCCAACAAACTTTCATTTTTATTTTATTAATTTCAGTTTCTTTTTACGGTTTGGATTCATTGCTAACTTTCTTATTTTCATTGGCTGATAGTGTAATGAATGATTATTATTAGTTAACGATTCATTGACTGAGACAAAATCTGTGAGTTCTTTGGTACAATGACGAAGCTTAATTATCTCTGATGATGATTCAGTTTCATCAATATCCATTGAAATAAAATTGCGATTTGAATTGGACGTCTTTTGAAGCATAATTACGCTAGGGCCTTCTGTGTGATGTATTTTATCTTTCTTCTTTTTTATTGAAACATCTTTAGCTGATTCTATCACAGAAAAGTGTTGAAGGATAACTGAATGCATTCCAAGATTTTCATAAAACTTATCAATTTTATCTAATTTCTCACACTGTTTAATGCATATAATTATACTTGGAAATTTGAATTGAAGTTTTGTCAGATTTCTTAATTGTTGAACAATAATAACTTTGATATCTTTGTGCCTTTGAAGTGCCAATGTTATGAGACGACTTCCAAAAAATCGTGGACTAACCTCATGAGCAATTATTAAATAATTTAATGCAATCTTTTCCTGTTGTATTTGTCGTAGACATGATTGTAAGCCAAGGGAAATGTGTTGCTTAGCTTCACATGAACTACAAAACCTACGAAGAAATCGTTAGAGATAAATATATAGAATCAATTGGAGTACTTACTCTTCAAATAGTTTCATGAATTCTGAAGATTGATTCTTTTCTATACATGGCCAAAATTCATCTTCGTTTTTAACTAGAACATTTTTTGGCAGTTTAACTTTCTTTAAAGAAGATAAAGCGCCTTTACTTTGTCTTACAGTTATTACGTGTGCTGTCTTATTCATTGTTTTTCTTTTAAAAATATTTTGGTTGAATTTTGCACGCAGCAAATACTTTAACCCTTTTGTAGTATAAAAACTACTTGCGTACCCCTTTAATTTAAAAATTTATTTTCTATTTATTAAGCATCTTCATTGATATGAACGTATAATAAAATACTACTTCGAAAAGCGTTATTTTTCTAAACAAAAATGAGTTATATATTTGTCAGATCAAACAAAGAACAGGTAATAGACACTATAATAAATTAAAAATGAGTCAGAAGTTGAAAAAATAAAGAAGCAGCAAATTGTTGTGAGCATCTCGAGCTTGGCTTCTTTCTTGACTCATAAACTTCTGAAGAAAGTTATTGATGCGATAGTTTGTTTGCAATTTTATTAAATCTGAAATATTATTCGAATTAGTGCTTTAATAATATTGTTTTGAAAATGGAAGAATTTACATCGTATCGTAAACGAAAACTCGAAAAAAAATTAAGAAATTTATTTTATGTTGATTTTAGGATATCATAGATCAATCTAATATGTTCTGGACTAAAGTGGAACATATATTTGGAAAGATTCCCGAAATGATTCGTCTAATTCTAGAGTTTAATGGATTCGACACACATTTAGCCCTGAAAGGCATTCGCTGGACTGATAAGAAATATTTTTTTGAAGCTTTGGAAGAGTCAATTAACTCAATTGAAGAACATGATGACAACAAGGAAGACGCTTCAAATGATTTGAAGACAAAAATCATTAATGAGCTTTCTCTTAATAATCAGACAACTCGAAACTTTAAGCTAAAGTTGGGACACAAGAATCTTATTATCAATTTATGTCATGAGCTACAAAATATAAATTCGGAAGATTTTAACAATTTTCCGAGTATTCACTCACCACAAAAAAGAAAATATTCTGAATTGATTGTACGGAAACCGGAGGAACATGGATATTCAAGTGTGAATGAGAGTTCAAAGAAAATCAAGAGTGAACGTGATCCATTTGAGCCTGTTGAGTATGTTTATGAAGATCAAGATTATAACGAAGATGATGAGGAGACAGGCAATCAGTTTATTGAATCAGAATATCTTGAACAGGAAGTAGAATTGTATCAGGAGGAAAACGATATTGGTGACTATCAAGAAGTTCAAGTTGAAGAAATTGAGGCAGATGAAAATGCTCTATATGCAACCGATGATGATATAAAAGCTCACCAACTTGATCAAGGAAATTGTTTTGAAATCTCCGGATATGATTCGTCATCATCTCAAAATCCCATAGAACAATTTATTGCAAGTTGTAAAACACAAAAACCTAAACACATGTACACAGAAGAGTTTTTGAAAAGTCAAAAAACTCAAGGAAAAATAGGAACACCTGGAAGAAGACGACCGAAAATTCCTAAAAACTATCCAGCTACTGATGAAGGAATGCTTGAGAGATGGACTGATCTAGTGAGACAAAGTTGTGAAGTTATTGTTCCTCAAGGTCTTCTACTTTCACTTGATTTACATCACATTGACATTGTAAAAGTTCTCGATAATATTTGGGAAGTTAGATGTCCACTTTGCACAAAAAAGCTTCGTCTACAACAGACATTTGAAGGAAAATATGTTAACTACAAACGTAGCAACTTCGAACGTCATCTAAGAATTGTTCACTATAATCAAATTCAGCAGGTCAAACCCCACCTAAAAGATGACGAACAGTATGAGGATGCAGTAAACTAAAAATTGATTTACTTCTGTCTTTAAATTAAATTATATTGGATTGTTTTCTAATTAAAATTGCAAAATTTAAAATAAAAATATCATTTAAAAATTAACGGTCATTTTCAAATTTGCTTTCTGCATGAATATTTCTGCCTCGCATACTTCATGCCCCGTTTTACTTCAAAAATTGTGTACACAAACATTTTGTCAAATAAAAAAAGTTTATTTGATGGTAAAATAACAGTCGTGAGTTTATAAACTAAGTGAAATGCCTAGAAAGAAAAAAGAAGAATCACCTATTGTTGTTAAAAAAGAGGTAAATTCATGATGAAGTGTTAAATTTCGAAAGGGAAAATTTTCATGAAGAAATGCAATTTTGGGATCTAACTTAATTGAAAATGCCGAGGGATTTGATAAGCTAAACATGCGCATTAGATCAAATACATTGCAGAGAAGGCCATGATAATATTGTTTGTAAACACAAATGTGAATTCTACAAAAAAATGCCAGACATTTCTTATTAAGTTTTTTTGATAAACACCTAGGTAAACACCCACAAAAAGCTTAAGGGGATTGAACTATGTTGTTGTTGCTTGAATTTTCAAATATCTGTGCACTTATTGAAGTTCCTGCAACATCTCTGAAGTAAACTTTATGCTGCTATAATGAAATATGTTTTTTCTCTCTTTTAGTGATTACTATAATATAATACAAAATAATCAAAAACCATAAGAAAACATAATATATGCGAAGAAGAATAGTTACATTAATAATAATCGTCAAGAAAGATAATAAAAGTCAAACTGGATCATCAAACTCAAAGTACCGGCGAAATCCGGATTGTAAGTGCTCAATTGCTGGCACAACTACAAGCGGCTGGATATCAGGTCTTCTAATTCATTCTTAAACATTTCAATGTTTGCCAGCTTTATTTTCCATTTACAATATTATTTATTTGTCTTTTAAATTGTTTAATAACAACATGTATCAAATTATTAGTTGCACTTTCGTTTCTATTCATTAATACAAAATGGATTGTAGATATTTATATTCTTAGATATTCTGGTACAAGATTATGATTTCTTCAACAAACTAACAACTTTCTTATGGTTTTTGATATTTTTTCAAATCTGTGTTTATTTCATAAATTTTATCACGTGACTTAATTATTAATTATGAAAAACAATTCAATCAAACAGGGGAATGAGTTAAATGCAGCGATTATACAACATTCGCAACCCCAATCTTCGCTTCAACAACAACAGCAGCAACAGCAAGCCTCATCAAATGCTGCTCATCAGCAACAACAGCTGCAAACAGTACAATCTCAACCTGCCCAACAGATTCCTCAAGCTCAAGTAATAACTCTGCAACAACTTCAAAACTTTTTCCCTCAACAAGCATCACAACAAACTCAGCAGATCCAACAGTTAAATGCAGCAGATGCAGCCCAACTACAGCAGCAAGTTCAAGCACTTCAGAACTCTGCTGCACAATCGCCACAACAGAACACACAACAAAGTACCTCAGCCCAACAGTTGAAGACTCTTTATGCACCATCTCCACAACAGCATCAACAGCAAGTGATAAATTTGCCTCAGCAATTTATTCAGTTTAAAAATGAACAACCTCAACAACAAATCATTCAAATAAAGCAACCCGATGGTTCAATTTCGCAACAAATTATTCAAATGAAGCCAGATCAAATGCCGCAGCAACAACCAATGCAACAAGTTCTGTCAGGCGGACAGTTGATTCAAGGGCCTAATGGAATAATTCAAGTTGTTCAGCCTATGCAAACTGTTACTGTTGACGGTCAAGAAGCTCTGTTTATTCCAAATCAACTTGGGAATGCACAATCAGTGCAGCAAGCATTTATAACACCTTCGGGACAAATCGTGAGAGGGCCAATGATAGCTCCAGGGAATATTCTGCATAACTTACCGCAAACTGTTCAACTGCCAAATGGTGAGTAATTAATGCGTTGTCATCAACATAAGCTTATCTCAAATGGTTGCAGCACTAATTCCTATACATAAAAAAATATCTCATGCAACATTCCGCTTCATGGTTTTTTGGGGTTTTTCTTTTTACTAAATAATGATTTTATTTCCTCTTTTTAAATTAACATTAACTTATGCACAAATGCGCACACACATACACACAAAAACATATTGTAAAGTTGGTAATGGTGGTGGACAAGCAACATTAACCATACCTGGAACCAACATACAAATTCCACTTGGACCAACACAACCCGCTCAACCACAACAGCAGCAACAGCAAACTACGACGCAAAATCAAGCAACAAATCATAATCAACAGCAGAATCTAACACAACAAAATTCACAGCAACAACAAGTTCAAAGTGGAAATCAACATAATCAAAGTCAAAATAGCGTCAATCAACAGCAAAGCCAAAATTCCAATCAACCACAACAGACGCAAGCAAATACAGTAATAACAATTCCAGGTACCAATAACACAATTCAGATACCAGCAAACTTTGCAGGTAAGTTTTTTGTAGTCTAATTAAGTTTTTTATCTTCAATTCCTGCATGATCTTCATTTTCATCTCATTAAAAACGATAATTAAATTAATAAGTAACATTAACTTAAAAGCCATTCATTATTTTATATCAAAACGAAGGACTCAGATTTGGTTTCAATTCTGCTCCTTTTTTTGATTATTTAAATGCATTATTATACATCACTGAATTTCAACTTTTCTCATTCTAAGTATCATATTTTTAATTGATTTATTCTGTAAAAAATTTATAATTCAATTCAAAGGAAAAGAAATCAAATCTTTGACAATAAACATTAAATTATTATTTTCTTCTTTTCTTATTTATTCTTAGGTCAAAGCGTTCAAGTTCGACCAGCTGTTCCTCAAGTTGTGCAATTTCCAATGCCTGCACAAACAATACCAATTCTAGTTCCGAGAAATACTGAAAATGGACAGACAATTTATCAGACAGTACATGTACCGATTCAGAATTTTGCTAATCAAATGCCACAAATTGTTCAGCCACAAATGCAAATTGTTCCACAATTAAGTCAACAATATGCAAACATTATTACTCTTTCCGGTCACATTCAACAAGTTCAGTTGGCCAATGTTCCAATGCTTCAGCAACAAGCAGCTGTCCAACCAAACCTGAATGCATTGCAACCTCAAGCTATAAAAGTTGATTCAACTTCGCAGGAACATCAACAGCAACAACAACAACAGCAGCAGCAGCAACAAGTGAATGCAGCGCAACAACCGATCACAATAACAAATGCACATGAACATCACATGACAGTTATTCCAGCCCACCAAATGCGACCAAATCAGAATATCGTTCAAATCCCAAATATCCCTGGAATTCAGCAATTTCACAATGTCCCTGGAATTGGCAGTGTTCAAGTGATATCCACGAATGCCTTGAATGGAAATTTCATGTCACAACCAACTCAAATTATTCAGCAAATTCCACATTCGCCAATGATTCAAACACAAGCTGGTCATCTACAAACTTCTACCACACCATCAAATCAAACTTCAACGCCAGCGTCATCACAACCAACGCAAGCACAAACAATAACAGTGACGACACCTCAATCAATTCAACTGAAACAAGAACAACAAGAGACCGGAACTCCATCAACACTAAAATGGAATATGAAATCGGAAACTACTCCAACTTCCTGTGTTGTTGTTGCATCTCAATCGTCATCATCTGTTGGTGCTGTTAGTCAATCACAAGCATCAAATGTTTCGTCACAAAGTCAACAGCAATCTGTGTTGCCAGTCATCACACAAGTGACGTCAATAGCGCCAGGGCCAATCAATCAGCAGAATTCAAAAAACGTAACAGGAACGTCGTCAGCTAGTCAAAGTCAAATGACAATACAACCAGCGTCAACAACGACAGCAGCGTCAACAACAGAAACAAAAACAACAACAACGACGACGATAAATGTAACGCCAACCGCAGTAACGCTCCAACCGACGATAAGTCAAACATCGGTGAATGTGAACATAAATGTGAGTAGCGATCAAGATGTTAAGCCGAGAGTTCGTCGAGTAGCATGTACGTGTCCGAATTGTGTGATGCCTGATCGAAGCAGTGATAGGAAGAAGCAGCACATTTGTCATGTAGCTGGATGTAACAAAGTTTATGGAAAAACGTCGCATCTTCGTGCACATCTCCGTTGGCATACAGGGGAACGTCCATTCGTTTGCAATTGGATGTTTTGTGGTAAACGTTTCACTCGTTCTGACGAACTGCAGCGTCATCGAAGAACTCACACTGGGGAGAAACGTTTTCAATGTTCTGAATGTTCAAAGAAGTTTATGCGTTCAGATCATCTGTCGAAGCATTTGAGAACTCACATGAAGAATCGAAAAGAAGTAAGTAATGAGTGAATTGTGTGAAATTCTTTTATTTCATTGCTTTTTTCTTCTTAGCTGAAGATTGAAGACATGAAAATAATTTTGGACAATTCACAGCAACAAGAATCTCAAGAACAAGGTCAATTTGTAATCATTCAATCACAATCGGTGGCGGGTGGCAAGACAAAAATGAACAACGAAGACACAACTGATGGTCAACAAGAGGAGATCGTTTATGTCTTGAAAGATGAGAACACATCCGGACAACAGAACGTAATTCAATTAGACACGAGTTCCGTTAATCAAGATCAATTTGTTTGGATCGCAAATGAACAAAATGGCGGCGATTCATCATCGCAAGTTCAATCTGGAAGCACGTTGTACACTATCAAGGAACTTAATTATGCTCAGGTAAAAGCAAAATGAAGAATGCTCGAAACTAAATAAATTAACTTCTTTTATTTATTTAAATTTCCCAGGACATCACAAACTCAACTCAGAGCGCATCTTCAGACGCTAGTAATGATTCAAGCGAAGAGAAAATGACAATTGAAGAAACGGATGGGAATAACTAGCACGAAGAGAAATATTTCAGCTTCGGACCATTCTGATAAAGACGAAGAAGTTGAAATATTTGCTAATATGAACGAACTCACCGATTTAGAGTTATTTTTAATAAATTATCAAAAGCGATGTAAAAAGGATTAAATCATAGTTAAATTGTAAAGCGCGGAATTTGAACAGCTAAAAATATCCATTAAGGTTGTCTAAATTACCTACTTGCTTAGAAATTATCGATTAACAAAACTGTTCATTGGAATTTTTGTATTTAAGTAACGTTATTAAGTTAAAATTAACTTTTAATTGTTTCAACTTTTAGCAAAAAAATTGTTTTAGACTCAATAAAATTAATCTTGATGTTGATGAATAGAAACGAATAAAAATTAATATTTCGAAAGTGTTAGACACTTTAATTTGTAAGATATTAAATTTTTAGATAACGTTTTGATAGCTAACTAAAAAATGGAAGTTTTTGTAAATAAATTTTCAAATTTAAATTTTATGACTGGAATTGGTTCAAATTGACAATCTTATAAGTTTGCCAAATCTCAAACACTCTTTAAATATTTTATTCGTTCAAATAATTTTCCCTTTCGTAAATGTTTTCTCAAACATAATCAAATGAAATGTAAATTGATTAAGCGTACTTGCCATACTATTAAGAAACAATAACTATAAGTATTATTGATAAATAGTTCTCATAAACATTTTATAGCTAATAAATAACTTTTCATTTAGTATCTATAAATTTCGAATTTTTTTCACAAAGTTGAGTTTTCAATCTTCCTTCAATCAACAGGTTGTTGTCATGGAGTGTGCATTTCGACTTTTAATTAATTTAATCTTCTGCTTTTATTTTTCAATAAAAAAGCTTCAAAGTGTAGCTGAAAGGTAAGCAATAAAAGCTCAAGTGTAAGATATTTAAGAGAACATTGTTGATTTTATTTTTCTGGTATGTAAATCGTGCTTTCAATCATCAAAGTCTCCATCGATCCTGAATTTGAAGGCTTCCCTCTTTACATCCCTAAAAGAAAATAAAAGAAATCGGGGAAAAGTATTTTAGAACATTATTCGATTTCTTATGTTTAACACACAATCATATCAGTCCGAATTTTAAACGATCACTGAAATAATTTATCTACCTAGGTTTATCTATCTATGCAGTTATTTTCCTAAAGCAAATTAAAGAAACATAAAAAAGTGAAAAATTAGGCCGAATATTAATAATTGAAACAAACCGAATAATTGGCAAATTATTAGGATAATTAAATACATACAATTATAATTTTGTTGTCATACTTACAGAAATAAACCTAATAAAATCACAAACCAATTTCTGATAAAAGCAAAATTACAAAACTCTCACTCTAAAAATTCAAAATTCATGGAAATTTCAAATCAACCTTAAAAGCATCCAATAATTACCAATTGCGTTTAAAATTTAAATATTTTTGTTTTATTATTTTAGATATCTAGAAATATTTGATTTACAAAATCTAATTTTCATATAAAATAAGTTCCAATCACAATTTTGAAAATAAATCATAAAATTTTCAGTACTTTTGATTCTGCCCTTCTCTCCCTCTCTCTCTCTTTCTTTTTCATTTTTGTTTTCTTTGACACAAAATTTCCTTCATGTAAGCTTAGAAAATATTTCTTTGGGAATTCTCAAATGAATTATCAACTTATATATTATAAGTACCTCAATAAGTCATTTTCGCTTTCTAAAGCGTTTTATAACAAGATTAGAAATTAAAATTAATTTATTCAAAATCGGAAAATTGTTAATAGTTTCAAGGGGAAAATTCATAATGAAGGAAATAATTAAATTCATGTTTTTTCTTTTCGATGCAGATATGAAAATAAATTATAAACTTAATCATCTTAACGATGCACAATGAATAAATAAGGAATTTAAATCGAGAGATTGATAGGGAAATATAAATAAATGAATAAATAATTAATTATTAATAAGATTTTCTTTTTTACAAACCGCCTCCAGAACGATCAACAGAAATCTTATGTTTAGCTCTAAGTTCGTTTTGTTTTGCTTCTTCAAATTCAGCAACGCGAGCGAATCGCGAGTAAGCAACCGTACCAGATTTGATAGCAGACATCATCTGGGGATAATAAAAATAAATAATTGAATAAACTGCGATCAGAAGAAAGTGATTAAATTGTACCTGAAGATATTCTTCCAACTCAACTTGTCCATTCATATTTGTGTCAATCTCGCGTAAGATTTCATGAAGCTCTTCACCACTTATGTCAGCATCACCGAAGCTCTGAAAATTTAATGAAAATAAAATAAATTATTTTAAATTTTATTTTGAATACCTTCAAAGCCCTTCGAATGTCATTAATGGATACGTAGCCCTTCTTATCTTTGTCAATGACCTCAAAACGTTTCTTGTATGTCTTGATTTCGTCATTGGAGAGATTAACAGGTGCATCCTTCAATGATCTGCTAACAGCTTGTCCCATTTCATTGTTTAAGAAATCTACAGCGGCCTTCATTTGTCGTTCTTTTTCATCTTTTGACCAGCCAAGTTCTTCTGCCATAATGTCACATACTATTGGAAGTGCTTCTTGAGCTGCTTGAACATTCAAGAAAGCTAATCTTAGACGTCTAGCAATCATGTCGACGGCAGTGCAAGCATATTCACGAACACCATAACGAATTTCAGCATCGATGTAAGGGAACTCAGGATGTATTCTCTTACCAATAATAGGCCATCTCTTACCAGTTAAAGACGCCAATTTAGCTACAGGGTATGCACGATCACCATAAGCTTTTGCCAGATGTTGAGCAACTTCACATTCTAAGCCAAAATCTTGCACCAAACGAATGTACATTGTTGGAGTCCATCCATGTGCGCCTTCGATTTGAAGTTGGTCAGTTATACATTCAGATCGAAGCGGTTTAAGGTCACAAGCTTTAATTGCAGCGTCAATTGTGTGTTCAGCCATTGCACGATAAGTTGTCCATTTACCACCAGCAATGGTGATTAAATTTGATTTGCTGACATGAACAATGTGATTTCTAGCAAGTGACTGGGTGTCATCTTTGTTAGGATCGGAAACTAACGGACGAATTCCTGACCAAGCTGATAAAACATCTCCACGACGCACATCAACATCTTTGTTCAAATAATGTTTAATCTCATTCAAAATAAATTGAATTTCGTCTTCACTTGGCTTTGGATTTCGTGTCACTTCACAAGGTGAATCAGTTGTGCCAGCGATAGTTTGACGTTGCCATGGAAGGAAGAAAATAACTCGCCCATCAGATGTTGCTGGGTCAAGAAGACCCATTTGTTGAGGGCTGTAGTATCCAGGCAGCACAATATGAACTCCTGAACTGGGGCAACAAATTTCTTTCACATTTGGATCGTCCATCTTTCTGATACTGTCGGTAAAAGGACCTGTTGCATTAATGATGCATTTAGCTTTAACAGTCCATTCTTTCTTTGTCAAATTATCTCTAAGTTTAGCACCACATAAAACTTCTTTTCCACTTTCGTCTTTCTTCTTCAATAATTCTTGAACTTCTACATGATTGGCGACAGTTGCACCATGACGAGCTGCAGTCAAAGCAACTGCGAGACACATTCTTGCGTCATCTTGCTGACCATCATAATAAACAATAGCACCACATAACTTATCACTCTTTAACATAGGAAATCGTTCAAGGGCGTCTTGCTTGGATAAGTAATAACTTGATTTCACATTACGATCCCCAGCAACAAAATCGTATGCTTTAATGCCAGCCCAGAAGTAAGGAACTTGCCACCATCTATAAAGAAATTAAATGTATGATTGATTAGGTAGGCAATAAACCGAACAACTCACTGATAGACTGGCAACATGATTGGTAAAGGATGCGTTAAATGTGGAGCTGATTGAAGCATCGAAGCTCGTTCACGTAGAGCTTCTTTGACCATGTTGTATTGTTCAATGTCAAGCTTAAAAAGAAAATCAATTCAAATATTGCAAAACTAGTTCATTAGTGTGAATATTTACCCCTAAGATTGCTTTTTGCAAATATCGAACACCACCATGAATCAATTTAGTTGATCTTGACGATGTGCCGCTAGCAAAATCATTTGCTTCAACAAGTGCAGTTTTCAATCCTCGCGTACAGGCATCCAAAGCACATCCAGCTCCAGTGGCACCACCTCCAATAATCAAAACATCGTATTCTTCTCCCGATTGCAAAGCAGAAAGTTGTTCATTCCTTAAAGGAAGTTTTCGTGCTCTTTTGATTGGCTTAGCTTCCATTTCCACACGTGCAAGCACTTCATCTTTACGGAGAGCATAAGTTGCAAATGTCCCTCCAAGCAGAGTTCCAACCGCTGTCACGCCAAATTTTCTAAATGCCATTGCAGCTAAAAAAATTCACTTTTGTTATTTATATAATTAATTAATTGAAATTTGTAAACAATAATCGTTAAATTATCATGAACTAAAGTCACATGCGGTAGTCAACTCATTAATTAATTCATGAAATTTCTAAATGAGAAAAGTTTTGTGAGAGCGCCGCGGTTTCTCATCGCTCAAGGTCGTTTAAGTCTCTAAGAAAGAATAAAGAAAGAAAACTTTAGACGAAAAAAATTGATGTAGGTCAGTATCACATAAACTGTGAATTTGAGGGAGCGCGGTCATCAAACTTCAAAGCAATGTTATTATTAATAACGTCAGAAAAGATGCACATGATACTTGAAAAGTTGCAAAATTCTGTCAAGGTTTCAGTTAGATCGGTCATATTCACGATACACAATAGCAACACGCCAATAATTTATTTTTGACGGAATGAATGAGTCATGGCCAAACCAAACGTATTCATATCACGGTGAATCCTAAAACCGAAGACTCACAGTAATTTCACACATTCTTTGAATTGAAATTTTACTCATTTTCTTTTTTACTTCAAAAATATTTCTTTTCACAAATTACGTAATTTTTTTCTTTTAATTTTCACTATAAATTTTTCATTGTCATTTTGAAATACTGCGTAACTAAAGCACAGTTTGAAAAACTCTTTGAATGAGAAAAACGAACACGTTATGGAAGTTTATGTTGTGCTGTTCGTCCACATAAACCCACCTCTTGATGACAATACCCTTCAAGCAATTATTTAGAAAAAAAAAATCACTCGAAAATTAAGATTTAATTAGCCAAGATCGTCACTCGTCGAAGGTAGAAAACTAAAGAAATGAAAAATTAGCGAGCTGTCTGAGCGAAGCTTCGATAAACATTCTCGGGATTATATAAAATGCTTTTAAACTTTTTTCTCGCGCTCTATGAGATTTGTAGGTAATCAAAGAAACAAAAGGAAAATTTCATTTAATTTTCTGATCAACAAAAATTCTCTCTTCATTGCAGGAAAACAATCTGTTGCCGATGTTACACGAGACATTTTGTCTTTATGCGTAAGTAGATTTGATATTCTAATTTATCTGTTTTGTTGACATTCATCTGTCACGAGCTATAAATACAAGTTCAAAGATTGAATACGCTAATATTTCAAGGTCGCATGAAAAAAATCTACGTACATGTTGTTAAATGAATTGCGCTCATTTATTAATTCGAAAGCTCATTTTTTTATTGATTTTTCTTTGAAGTTTTTCTTGAGAGCTTTTTTTGATTCTTTAACGACATCTGCTCCAATTTTAATAACATATGTTAGTAGTGTTTTTAATTGCCTACTTATAAATAAATTATTGTTGTCTTTTTTCCTAAAATTGTTATCACAAATCACTCTTTTTAATTGTACATTATTTAAAAATAGAAATTTAACATGAAGATAAATTTAAATAAAAATATATTTTCGACACTTTTCTGCATCCAATTTTTACCTTTTCTTTAATTTGATAGGGCAGTATTAATTAATTGGATCCTTTTATCTTAAAAAACTTAATTCAAATCCATGAATGTTATTCAATGAAATTTTTCATGCAAGGAAAAATGACGATTTTCAATGATGATTACTTGAGGGATGACAAAACTTTTTACGTTTATGCGCACACATACAAGTTAAGAGAAATCTCGTGTTATGCAATAATAGGAAAAGTCTTTAAAATATTTTCATCGCAAATGATTCTTTTATTCAATGAATAAATAGGAAATTGAGATGATTTTGATAACGACCAATTTCTTAACTAGGTATTTCTTTTTATAATTATTTCAATAAACTGGCATGTCATTTCAATGAAAAGCTGTAAATTAAATTTTATGTTCATTCGTTTCGCAAAGCATTTAAACTTAGTCATGTTCGAAAAAATCATTTTCGAATGCACCCAGAAAAATGTCTGTCGCAAGATTGTGCAAAGTTGCTGCGTCAACAGTTTGAAACCACTTGTAATGCCATCATTTTTATTAAAATATTTCTTTTCTTGACTTGATAAAAACAACAATAAATTTTTGTTGTACTGAAGCAGATATAGCAGAGTAAAGAATTCTTTATTGAAAAACATGTTTTTCTTTGCGTGTTATGTTCGAAACAGTCATTAACAAAACAATCATTAAAATAGAACGGAAATATTTTTTTGCCATAAACTAAATATCTAATTCTCAATTGATTCTTCTATTCGAGGACTGTTGTAATATAAATTTATTTATATTTTCATATTGCCATTCGTGATTTATTAAAATAAAAGTTAAAATTTAAGTACAAAGCGACATGAACAATTTTTTAGATTTTTTCCATTTTATGGATAAAAAGGGCAAGGTTTGTATAAATTTAGAAGAAAATGGCAAAAATATCTTTAAACCTATGACATTCATTTGTTTATATACTTTAACTAAACTTTGCGATTTGCTATTTTTAGACATTCAGACCTAAGAAAAGATTCACACATGGCACTATTCGTTATTCACTTCATAAACAAGCGCAGGCGAGCTTACAATCAGGAATAAATTTGAGGGATGTCGTAAAATTACCATCAGGAGAGCACATGAATGATTGGCTGGCAGTACATGTTGTTGATTTCTTCAATCGGATAAATTTGATTTATGGAACTGTGTCTGAGTATTGCACTGAAATGACCTGTCCAAAAATGAGCGGAGGGTCACGTTACGAGTACTTTTGGGCAGATGGTGACAAGTTTAAGAAGCCAACAGCACTTCCTGCACCAAGATATATCGAGAATCTCATGGACTGGGTGGAGGGACAAATCAATAATGAAGACATTTTTCCAATCACAACAGATATTCCGTAAGTAGAAAGGAAATCTTTGTAACAATTAAAAATACTTACACATATTTGAATAATTACAGCTTTCCACGATCATTTCAATCACTAAGTAAGAAAATCCTGACTCGTCTGTTTCGTGTTTTTGTTCACGTTTATATTCATCATTTTGATAGGTAAATTATGTTCATGATTCTCATTAATAAAACTCGATTTAATTTATTTTAATATCTTAGAATTGTTGCAATTGGAGCCGAACCTCACGTGAATACTTGTTTCAAACATTTTTATTACTTTGTGATGGAATTTAGTTTAATTGCTTCTAAAGAGATGGAACCTTTAGCTGAGCTAATAAAACAAATATGTAAGGAGTATTCGCCCACAGAAAAATAATCTTTTGGGCGATTTTCTCGGATTCTTTTGATCTAAAATTATTCTCTGACTTTGAATCATTTTTCGATTCTTTTTTATTTTGTTAAAGTTCAAAATCTAGTAGATATCTAGTTAAAGTAAAATTATGGGCATTTAAAAATCTTTTAGCTATCTGATCGAAGAGTACTTTTATCTCTTTTAAATTCTAATTTTCATTAATCAGTTTGACTTTATTGAGATTAGCAATTTGAAGGGTTTTCTTTTTTATTAAAAATTAAAATTAATAAAATATTGCAAAAAAATTATTTGAAATGAATTAAAGAAAAAATGAATAAAAAAATTCTTACATCTAAATAGAAAAACAAATAATCTATGAGTTTAATTTTTCTTGCATTCTTTAAGTTCTTATACGAGATTTTATATTTACGTTTTGCTTAATATCATAAAAAAAAGCTTCGAACAATGTTTCGAATCATAGTTAGAAGCGCTGATCTAAAAAGTGTTTGATAGAAAAAACTTCCCTTGATAAATTTTGCTTATTTTTCCATTTTCGATTTTAAATTTTAAAGTCATATTCAGAGATGAGATATTTCTATTTTTATTACCATTAGCAAAATTAAACGATGACGCAAGATTCAAAAATAATTTGAGGCAAATTCTGTTGAACAAAAAAACTTGAAAAATATTAGAAGAACTCTGTTGAAAATACTTCAAATCAATGATTGAATCCCCAGAAACTTGTTTTCTCATACATGTGTACATTATTAATTTAAAGAGAAATACAAGATATAAATATCATAAAATCTTTATGAATATGAAGTCAATTAAAAAGTTTCTTTAACAGAATACCTTAAAGTTCAAAATAACGAAATCTTTCCTTTATTCCGAATTTGAATGAGATCAGGTGAAGCATTTCGTATTCCCATTCATAAAACAAAAGTATTGCTTATTGATATGCGCACACTCTGCTCAATATTCTTCTACTTTAAAATTTAAACTAGATTTCTATTCAAATTATCGTAAAACGCCAAATAATAATAAAAGGAAAACTTCAGAATTTTGAAAGTTTTACTTTTATCAACGTCGTTGTCATCGTCGAGTTTTTAAAGTCTTTTGATCTCTTAAATATTAATTATAAAATGAATTCCAATGTTCCGATGTTTGCTTTCATCTTCGTCAAACAACATTGTGAAGTTAAAAATTATGCTTACATCCGCAAATTCTATTTTTGTCGAGTTTGACGCAAATGTTAAATTTTAAACGTCGGATATATTCATCCAAAACAGTTTGATTTTTCCAGAATCTCTTCTACTTTTTGTAGAATCTTTGTGAGGAATTTCTTTTTCAATTATCTGATTTATTTTGCAAAGAAAATAATTTAAATAATCGCATTTACCATCAAAGCATAACATTATAACATAACATAAATAAAATAATATCTAAACAGTCATATGTTTGAGCAAATTAATTTCTGTTATTTAAGGGAATCAGTAAATATGATATTTGTAAATAATTATTAACAAATTTAATCAATCGCTTTAATTGCAATATGCATGAAATATTCATAAAATTTAATCGTATAAGCTCTTTTCAATACAAAAGCTTTCATTAACAACACTTTTCTCTTTATACTTTACATAAATTTATGTATGAAAGTTAATAACATGTATTGGAAGTTTACATCGATTTATTTATTTTGCCTGAGTTAACATATTAGGGAAATTTACAATGATGGTCTTTGATCCGTTAAAATTTTTTATGACGTGATTGTAAAATTTAATGAAATTAAGCGAGTGACAATATTCAACGAAATCCGAGCAATAATCATTGGAGCAACATGAACAGCTTCTCTTTGTTCATGGCATTGGCCTACAAGAGTCTGACATTTTCAGTTAATGATATTTTAAAATGCTTTTAAATATTTGTATATATTGCAATATCACGACAAGAAATTATTTTTAGATAGTGATAATCTGATGCTACATCGGAATAAATTTCAATTTTTACTTATAGCATAACAATACTGACATTTTACTTTGATCATAAAAGTTTTATGATATCTAAAAATAAAACGTAAAATTGTAAATCATGTTCAAATGACAAATATTTCAACATGTGAGTTAATAAAAAAATGCTTCTAAAAGGTCATGTGTTAAAAAAATTATGTTTCTTAAATTAATTTGAACGTCAGAATTCTATTTCAATACATGTAAGATTTATTTTACATTTAAAATTAAGGAAAAATTATGTTTTATGCTCTTCTACAATCTATCACATTTGATAATGGTTCTGCATTCAAATATTACATATCTATTTGAATTAAGTAATTTTCTTAACTAACAAGCTTACTTGCACCTAACTGTATGCTCATGCTGTTTCAACTTTTATTTGAATTGCAGTTAAATGAGAGAGCTGTTTGTACGAGACATTTGTATAACATTATGTTTGTGAATATTTTGTTAGGCTCTCATTTTACCCTCTTCATTTCACCCTACATGATTTCCGTAGTTGGGAATTTCATATCAGAATCAGACTGTGGTGAAAAGTGGAAGAAAAATCTCTCTTTTCTCAAAAAGGGATATTTTCTGTTTTCCTTTTCTCTTTCATTTTTCATCTGACAGCAATTTCAAAAGAGAGAAAATGCTACATGAATTCTATTTAAGAATACTGCTATCTATCGAAAGCGTATTTGTATTCAAACTTGCGTGCATCGAATGACGTCATGGCTCATGATGAAATTAAAAGTTAGAAAAATTTAATACACCCTCATTAGGAAAAACTTTCATAGCTGCTGTGCATAAATACGCGTTTAACTAATTATTCTCGATAAAAGCATTCTTTACACGTCAACTATGTTATTCAGTTTTGATTAGATGTATAAATATGTAACTTGCATTTTCAATCATCGCGAAATGTTGTTTTTCAAGCTATGTTGGTGTCAGTTTCACTGATATAAAAGATAAATAAGAATTTACATTTTATTAGGCGATACCCTTCAGTAAATGAAGCTTAAGAGTTTTTTCACTGCAATATAATAGCAATAGTTATGGTTAAATGATTAATTATTCTTCTTCTATTTATGGTTTTATTTTCAATTTTTAATGTGTTTTTTAAAATTTTCTCTCCAAATATGTTTACCAAAACCGAGTTTGTAATGATTGCAAAAGTGATAAATCGCACGTGCAAATGTTTCCAAAAGATTTTTATAGTTACTGAGAAGTTTTCAGTGAGAATCGATTAAAAAGCAGTAAGATAAGTTATAATTCATATGTTTTCCTGGCATACATATATGATTTCTTTTTCCTTCTCACATATGCCGATGTGCCATCGTTAATATTAAAACATAATATGATTCCATTGTGCATAAATTTGCTAGCATCTAATAAGTACAAAAAAAGGAATTTGTTTCTATCATCATATTGCAAGCTTTCGTGCTTTACACTCAGTAATTCTGACTTTAATGTGCGTCCTCCAAGTCAAAATATTTGCAAAAGCAACTTTATTGTCGTTGACCTACCAAACGATCTTATCTTATCTTATCTTAATGCGACTTTCATTTGGTTAACTAAACAAATTTTCTAATTACTTTTCCATTTATTTATCCACATTTCATGTTTCTTCTTTATTACCAACTTAAGTTATTCATCTCATGGTTCATCAATATTAAAGTCATTGTCACTGAGAAAAGGCTGCTGGTAAATGAACAGAGACAAACCATAAGTAAATTCTTATTACAATGACAACTTACAAAATTCTTAACATTATCTCTAATGAAATGAATAAATATCAACAAGACACAAGATAAATGCAAAATTAAAATTTCACTTCGTATGACACAAATTTTTCATTACGTTTACTCTACAATTTCTTTTCTATTGTTTGCGCCCTTGTTGTTACTCGTCCCGCATTCCCTCAAGATGGTGAAAGCAATAAATTTATTTAATCTTTCCTTTTCTCGTCATTATCTTCTCCGCATTATGTTCGCTGCCATCAATATTCATCAGTAATAACACCCTGACTCGGTCACAATCTCTACGTCTCTTCTTTGCAAATGTTAAACTCAAAAAGTTCTTTGGGAGTGATACAAGATTGAAAACGATCTCAATAAAATTAATTTGGCTTTGAGCAGAGTTGCGTCCGTTAAATTTGGATTTAGTTGCGATTTATTACGCTACTTTTCACTTCCACCCTCTCAACGACAGTGAGGAACAAGATAATGTCTTGAAAGTTAAAAAGATGGAAAGACGCATCTTAAAACATAATTAAGCTAAATGAGTGTATTTTCAAAATAAGCGTTCAGATAGAAAGTGATTTTGACATAAAGAAAAAAAGAAAATCTTAGAAGCTTTTTACAGAGACAGACAATGGCAATATAAAGAAGAAATTTTGGCATCAGTATGAAATCCAATAATAATGTTTCAGAGAAAATTCTTATTGTCAGCATCATTATCAAGAATGTAAGTTGAAATAGGATCCTCTTTCAATTTAGCTACAGTTATCTGTAATTAAACTTGTTTTTTCCGAATGATGAACGTTTGAAATTTGCAAATATATTTTCTTACTTTCATGAGCATAAATATGACCATAAAATGTGTAATGAAGTCTTCATTATCCATAATGTGCCTAACATTAATCATTGTGAAAATCTCCCGTGAATTAGTGAAACATTAAATTATGAAAATAAATAATAAAAAAGGTTACAGCGGAAAAAGTGAGAACCTATATCTAATAAAGTCGTCTTATTCAAGACCCTTCCCATGTACTTATTTGTGACTCGTATTGAAGTTGTTATTTCAAAAGTTTTGCTTTATTCTTTCTTTTTCCTCCTTTTTTTCTGAAGAAGTAAAACCATTTTGAAGTGTAAATTACATCAAGTTATTCCTTGTCGTTTTCCTCTGTCAATTTTTTGTGCAGATGCCGCTTTTTCAATTACACACTGTTTTAAACTTTTGTAATTTTTACATTATGTTGTCAACATCTTTTTTTTGATTAATTGTCAATGAATCGCTTCCTTTACGCTCTACCAATTTCTACTTTACTTTCATTTCGTTCCTTTCTTTCCGCTTCTTGTGCCTTATTATATTTCCTACAACGTTTTTTGTTTTTAATGGAAAAAGGATGAAAGGCTATAAAATAAATAGTAAATGTATTAGAAGTCGTTTGAATTTAACTCATTTTTCTTGATGGCAAACGTGTTAAATGGGCTTTCTTTTTCTTTCAATTTAGTGGGTGAAATAGTAGAAGGAATTAAAGTTTGATTATATTTCAATATCAACTTTTAGAAAAATCTGAAATAGAATAAAGACAAAGTAAGAGCAGTCAAACCGCCTATTTCGAAAAATGTCAATCGACCATTAAGCTGAGCTTATTAAACGAGCCAGTCGGTCAACT